GGCAGGGCCCGCCCGGGGGGAAGGGCCATCCCCTCGCCCCCTCCCTACGAAATTCCTCACAAAAAAAAACCATCGTGGGGACAGCCACCGAGCCCTCTTGAATTTCTGGAAATTACTGGAACACCGAGTCCTCCTGCGTCCCGACCTCTCCGTTCCGAGCTCGGCGCCAAACCGCCGCTCTTTTGTGGTAATTTCCTCGGTTTTCAGTCGAGGCCTGTTCGCAGCAGGCCCTGAAGCTGCCACAGCAGCAGCCCGGCCTTGGCTGAGGTGCAGATAAACCGAAACAGTTAGATTCCGTTTTTCTATTTTAATAAAAGAGGCCGTGCTTTAAGCTGGGAAATGTTTTGTGCGCTGGATCCTGTTTATCCAAGGTGAATATGATTGAAATTAAATTTTTGTACCTAATTCTTGTTCTTGAGCTGTTTTTCTTCACTTGAAATAATGTAAATACCCCTAATTTTTAGCTGTTTCAGAGAATACATTAAAAAAGAAGAAAACAACGTTTTCTTTAAATGCATCCCTGCTTATCAGTTGACTTAATTTTTTTTTCCTTATTTAAAACCATCTTGAGGTGGTTGAAGGTTGAGCTGTTTATCTTGATCTGAGGGATTGCAAGGGGGAAAGATGAGTTCCTTTGGACTTTATTTTCCTGTTGAAATTCATGGAGTCAGCACGACTTACAAAATAATTGAGCAACTGAAACAGAGGTGCTGTCTTGTATTGCAGAGATAAGGAAGAACAGACTTGGTGTTGGTAGAGAGTGTTAACTGAAAACATGTTGGCTACCAAGCTGTCCCGGCCTCTCCTGAACTTCTCTGTGAAAGCCCTGAATTTCAAGGACACAGGAAATGGTTTCAGGTAAGTAACGTGGTGGAAAAGAAGAAAGAATGACATCTTGGGTAAAGCATACATTGAAGGCTCATTTGATTTCACAGTGGGACAATTTATTTACAGAATCACAAAATGGTTGAGGTTGGAAGAGCCTTCTGGAGATCACCTGGTTCAAGCTCCCTGCTAAAGCAGGGCCTCCTAAAGCTGGTTGCCTAGGACTGTGTCCGGATGGCTTTTTAATATCTCCAAGGATGAACACCCCATAGCCTGCCTGGGCAACCTGTGCCAGGGCTCAGTCCTTGAGCTGGGCACAGAGAAGATGGGCTTTACATACAAGGAAATGTTAACAACATGATTTTTTTTATACTTGGACTATCATCTGTAGTCAAAAGGGTGGGTTGAGTAACAAAGCTGTTTTTTTCTGAACAGGAGCAGAACATTGTCTATCTAAGTTTAATTCCTAGCTCCAAAAAAACCCCACCTTTTATATTAATACATGATTGGAAACCTACTAGTCCAAATTCAGAGCAAGCTGAGTGCTCTCACTGGCTTTGCTGTAGAGCACGCTTGCCAAACAATGGTGCATGTACCTTTAATAGTACATAAGCCGTTTAAAAGTGACTCATGGCCTGCTAAGCAAGAAGTGCCACCTCCAGAGCTGTTTTACTGCTGTTGATAGTGGTGTCCAGCACCATCACTGTCCAGGATGGCTCCTTTAACAGGGAGTTGTAGAGACCAAAGATACGTAAACTTTTAAGAGATTTCCTGTGCAAACAGACAAAGGCCTTTTATCTCCTCTGTACTCAACATACAGCAAAGCTGCATTGGCAGGAACCTGCTGTGGGCTTAAAGATACAAATTAATGCTTTATTAACTTTAGAAAGTAATTTTCAGCTTTTTGTTTTGTTTTGCTTACTGTGTGTTTGTGTTTTGTGCGTCTTGTACTGAGGGAAAAAATAGCTTGCATTTTTTGAAGTACCCTCAAGCTGCTAAACCTGAAATGGAAATCCACCTGTTCATCTGAAAGGCAGTGTTGTCACTATACCATTGACTCTTCAAGCTGAGAACTGCCTTTTGTGGTGTAACTGAGGAAAAGCAAGTGCATGGTTACAAGCCCAGACTCAATCCAGGGACCATCTGTGCATTTTAAAAGTCTCAGTTGTGGTCTCTAGAATTCAGCCATGCAGAATGACACAAATGGCTCCTGCACATTAGTGTACTAAGTTGGGCTAACAGCGCAGACGCCTCGTAGCTGTTTCCTCTGATGACATTCCGGCTGGTCAGCAGGTGGCATCTTAGGCACTTGCCTTCAGGTCAAGGTCGAGAGAATGTCAAATAGTTATTCTCTACAGGTTGTTATGAATAGAGTGCAGCAAATCAGTGCTCTTCAGTGAAATAACGGGTCCAGATATGACATTGAAAAACAAAAGTATGCAACTAAAAGAAGTGTTATGAACACTTCTGGGCACTTTGAGACACACCAAGAAGCTTATCGTTGAGATAAAGGTTCCAAGCCAGGATTGCAGGTCAGTGATGTTAACACAGACTTTGTCTGGAGACTGACCTTTGCAGTAATTAAATTTGCTGTAGCTATTTCAAGAGTTGATTGGGCTTGTGACACTTAAAGTTAGAGCAGGAAGGTGAGTAGACACCATTGGGCTGAATATAAATCAGCTCCTTTCCTGACTTGTTCAAAACTTCTGCTGTAGTAGAGCCTTTTACTAGCTTTGTTTTCCCAAGATGCAGCTCAGATGCCATAGTGTCTGCAGATTCCTCCTCAGTGTAGCACCGGTCACTCTGGGAGCACCTATAATGTCTGAACAGGAGACTCAAACCCTGGAAGGTGTAGTTGCTTTGCTCTGCTTTGATTTTGTGGACATAGTTTATCTTCCTGGGAGTCAGACCTACTCTACAGAGGACCTTCAGACCTGCATGGCAGGTATTGCTCAAGATGGTAAGACACTGGAACAACTTGTCCAGGGAAGTTGTGGATGCCCCATCCCTGGAAGCATTCAAGGACAGGTTGGATGGGGCTTGGAGCAACCTGATCTAGTGGGAGGTGTCCCTACATATGGCAGGTGGGTTGGAAGTAGGTGATCTTTAAGGGCCCTTCCAAACCAAACCATTCAGTGATTCTAGGATAGTGTCTGTCAGTTTAAAGGGTTGCAAAAAGGGGATATAAGGTCTAAGAGTATCAAATGGGTAGACACTGCAGAGGAGGAAGTGTCATCTAAAATGACAGAAGGGTGGAGCTGTGTGTAAAAGCAAAAAGAGAGATCCAAGCAAATTTGACTTTAGTCGTCAGAGACAATGCCACAGCAGAACACTTTCATCAGACAAATGAATAACTTACCCTACCTCAGCTCTGTGCAACTCTTAAATGATAGTTATGTTGCTGTTGGAAAAGAAAACACTGTACTGCCCGTTTTTCAGGTGGAAAAAGCTCTGTGCCTCCAGACCAGGAGCTATTTTAGAATTCTTGGTCATATCCAGACAGCTTCTGCAGCTGGAAATAGCATCAAGGTCTTTTGAGAAACGAATGTTTTGTACTGTAGGAAACACAGACTAAGGAGAAATGTAGGTTGGATTTTGTCTTCTCAAACGACAGCCTACATCGTGTATATAGGCAACCCTACATTCCTTTTCATGTGTATGCTGCAGTATTGGAGTATGGACAAGATATTCCATGCCTGATTGTTCTCTTGTTGTTTGTTTGTTGTTGTTTATTTAACAGGCCTGTGCAAAGATTTTGTTTCCCTCTCTTGTCCCCATGTGGCAGCCGCTCTTATGCAGCTGAAGTCGATCAGGTGAGTGTCATTGTGGTTTCCAGGAACTAGTGCTTCTGAGCTGGGACTTTAAAACCCCTATAGCCTGGTGACCAAATTGATCTTTCTGATTGGTCAGGAAGACTCTGAGCTGGACCTCTCCAACATACTCCACATTCTTTCCTATCACAGAGCTTCCACTGACGTAGCATGGTACATGCTGCTAAGGATGGAAACAAGCAGTCAGACTAGTGAGTGTTTTCTATTTTTGGAACTCACTCAGCTGATTAACTCTTCTACCTTAGAGTTGGAGGAATTTGCATGACAAATACTTAGTAAAGCATTGTTTTTTGGAGTGTTTAAAGAGATGTAAGTAAATCAGGGTGTCCGCACCTCCTGATCTGGAGAGTACCCCTCTTCTTTAACAGCCCTTTCCTTGAAGGTGATGGCTTGCCAGGAACATCACCAAACAAAAGGAAGGGACATGTTTTGCCCTCTTTCAGTCTTGCACCACAGAATTCAGCACTGTAGCAGTGCTAGAGCATGCACATCTTGCTCTGTAAGCCTGACAGAGTCCAAAAGGAATTCAGATTTGGCCCCTGCTGGACTTCCAGAGTGACCCTGATCAGTCCCTGTGTTTCCTGGGGAAAACCAAATTTCTAGTTTTTTAAAAGAGATGAGTTAGAATGAATCTGAAGTAATTATTACCCAATCCCACTCACAGCAGCACCTTGCTACTTGTGTACTTATCCTGCTAGGATGTCTGATATACCATTTAATTTTTAACATGTCACTTAACTGCTGCTTCTCTTTGGCTTCGAATAAGGGGTTTGGAGAAGAGCG